TCAAGCATGTGGAGTACCCAGGTACGGGCGTGTGAGGGTTTTGGCGGGAAAACTGCTAACTTGGTAACCAGAAAAGCTAGAAGGCTGAAATTTTGAGATAATGTTCCCTGCCCAAGTACAACTTAAATATTTCGAAAATTTAGCGTTGAGATATTCGAGGTTCTTAAGTACGGGCACTTAAAAGTCATGACGAAAAAATTTCTCACTGAACAACTAGGTTATTTCTAAAGAACGACTGGAAATTATACATTTACTTTGCAAAATTTATAATGATTTATGCTGATGACTGCAAAAGGGAAGTGCAAAGCAACTGCCATTCACACAGTTAATGACCTGAGTAATTCAAATCTGGTGCCAAAACGCATGATCGCACGGGCCCGCTCGGTGCGTTCCAGCCTGAGTCTTGATCGGGATCTAGCTGACCGACGGGTCTATGTTGAAGAAATATGAGGATATAATTTTGCTGTCCACATAAGATCGTCTAGATGACTGATACTATGATCCATTATCATTCGTTTTAACGGGATGCATCCGAACTGAACAAAAATCGCCTGGACCAGACTTAATGTCCGGAGTTGCTGGCCTTCAAAAATCAGTGACTACTGTTGATACTGCGCAAGCACGCCTCCTCAGCCGCAGCGCGACTGTTTACTTTTGTTTCACGCTGGTAGAACTCAGTAACTCTCAATATTTGGGGATTGTTGCATACCGTTGCAGGATTTGAGTCAAACTGAATTTCAGTCAGTTCTACAGTATGTGACCAAAAAAACGCAGACTGGAAAGCACCGGGCGGACTCGTACGATCACGCGTTTTTGCACCAGACTTGAAGTACTCAAGTCATTAATTGTGTGAATGGTTGCTGCTTTACACCTACCTTTTGCGGTCATTAGCATAAATCACCATAAATTTTACATATAGTAAATGTACAATTTCCATTTAACGATTGTTTTTTATAAGTAACCTAGTTATTCACTCAGAAATTCAATCAAAATTTTAATTCCCGGTAAGTAAGATCCACGCATACCTCAAGATTGAATTTGAAATACTTAAGTTGTACTAGGACAGGAAATATCCCTCCAAAGTTTCAGCTTTCTTTCGGGAACCAGAAAAGCTCATACGCCCCTACGTGAATACAATGCTCCCAGCAGTGCATTGTATTCATGTAGGGGCGTATAAATTTTCTGCCGTAAATTTACTAATTGGGGAACCAGAAAAGCTGAGCCAAGCAAAGTTGAACTTTTCTGGTTTCCGAATTAGTAAATTTACCGCAGAAAATACGCCCCTATGTGAATACAATGCACTGCTGGGGACTGAATTTGAAACATTTAAGTAATTTGACAGGGAACATTACCCTAAAATTTCAGCCTTCTAGCTTTTCTGGTTTCCAAGTTAGTAATTTTCCCACAGAAACTTTCATACGTTCTTACGTGAGTACTACGCATACCCGGGGGTTGAATTTAAAATGTTTAACGTGCACAGGGAATATCCCTACAAAATTTCGGCCCCTTAGCTAGTGCGGTTTCAGAGATCGCTTTCCAGCCAAAAAATTTGCATATTCCACGCATGAAAAATTACGCCCCACGTAAAAATCGATTAGGATCTCCACGTATGAAAATCCACGCCTTACGTGGAAATTTACATGCTTAGTGCTCTCCACGTATGGAGTGCTCACTGTTATGTGGAAATTTGCATAGTTGCCAGAGGGCGTTCTACTTTTGTCTATTTCATCACTTTCATTTGGCTTACATCGTTTTAGCGGTTGTTACTTTTGTCTGTTTCTTCCCCCCCCCCTCCTCCCCCCACCCCCGCGTGCCACTGGGGGCTGAATCTGATAGGTTTATGTAGTATTTATGCTAGGAGCATTCTTTAAAAATTTCAGCCTCTCAGCTTTACTAGTCCCCGAGTTAGCTATTTTTCCGCCAAAAAATTTCACAGGGCTGTGCCGGGGAACCATGCGCATCTGGAGGCTGAATTTGAAATCGTTGAGTTATATTTGGACGGGGAACATAACCTCAGAATTTCAGCTTTCTATCTTTCCTGGGCCAAGTGCCAATTTTCCAGCCAAAACTTTCTCCTCCTCATACGCGGTGCCCAGACTTGCGTGGGGGTTGGTATCGCAGTTCTGGTGGGGCACTTGGCCGGGGAACCCACTAGCAAAATCTTGGTGCTGGAAATTGCTTGATTGCCGAGTTAAAATATCCGGACAGGCGAACACACACACCCAGAAACATACACACACATATACACACACAGACAAAGTCGTCGCAATATGGGTTTTTGCAATTCGCATATAGGCAAAAACGCACAAACGTCTAAAATGTTAAAAAACTTCTAAAAAGATGTCTTACATGTTTGGCCACACGTCGGCCAAAAAATTGGATATTCAGTGTATGCTTGAACAAACGTCTCTGCCAAGATAAACAGAAGCGTGCAAACGAACTGAAGTTGCATGATACCTGAAATTT